AAATTGATACAAAAATACCACTTTCTAGAAAATGACAGCACACCAGGTGCCTTGATTTTACAGGATGCTTTAGACTGCATTCACCACCAGTCCAGTGAGGTATTTCATAACAATTTGGTAGTTTTGTTTTTGGATGTTTGCAAATGTTGTATATTGCCTTTAATCACTGTTTCTACCTCTGGTTCATTTCTTCCCATCCTTTTATTCATTCTTACTCTCTCTCTCACACAGCTTTATCAGGCACACACCATTCACATGGATAGATGATAATGATATATACTAAGCTCTTCCTAAGGATGGCCTCTGCTACTGCTAGTTGATAAGTTGAGTATAGGCCACTGACTTCACACACCTGAAATGTACACACAGGCTGGGAAGCTTTGTCTTTCATCAAAGGAAAAGCTGAACAGTTATTGATGATAGTATAAAATGAACTTCTGAACTCGACTATGATTTGCAGAAAAGCAAAAAACCCCAATAATTTACTGAAGAAAATAGCAGTGTTAATGTAGGATTAGGACTGGTGTAATAAGAAGGGAAATATCAGTCATGAATCACATGGCTCAGTGAAATGTCAGGAAATAGGAAGACTGAATACTGAGGCCACTGGGCTTTAGGGATCTTCTCTTATTTTGATGAAATGTGAAAAGTGAAGCTTACACACAGAAAAAACCCACATTTTTCCCCAGCTAAGTTAAAAATATTCATACAAATTCTTGAAATCTGTGAAATGAATAAAAACTTATTTAGTTAGCACTTGCTGTTGATTAGTGAATCAAATTTGGAAAAAAATCTGTCAGTGAAACATTCGCTGTTAAACTGATATTGAAGAATGTAAACAAACTCGTCTTTTATTTCTCTTGGCTTTAACTACAATGGAAAGTCACTTTATAAAAGTAAACTATTTTATTGACAGTGTTTGCAAAACCTATGAAAGACATAAGTATGTGTAGTCCTTGCATTCAGCCTAAGTGGAAGAATTGCTTTGATCCCCTAAATGCAAACATTCAATATAGCAACAATCCTTCACAACCAGCTGCAGAAAGTGTAACAATTTCCTTTGTGTAGATAAGTAATGCATACCACATGGATCAGAATGTGATTTGACAAAAACGGCTTATGCGAACACGGGACTGATGTTGCCATAATGTCAACAGAGGGCAGTATACACATACACATTTTCTGATTCTAACAGTCAGCTTCAGTGCAGTACCATAAGAGCGCCCTCATTCAGTCATTGTTGACTACATGGCCTCTTCCACTGTCACACAGACATGGTATAAAAGTTGATAACCTGAATAAAATGGCCTTTTGAAAAAAAACCAAAACGTACAAGCTGTACAAGGTCCCATCAATGCATATGGAGAGTAACACTGTTAGTCTCATTTGTTATAAAAGTTTAATGTTAGAATTATCTGCCTTCATAAGACCATAACGAGGATTGTAATTTCTTGACATTAGTTGTCTTATTTTATATCATGGATTAAAATCACCCCCAATAAATGTTTGTGGAACACCACCTTAGAAATCAGTCATACAATACAATTTACTTCTCGGTCTTCAGTCCTTTAATGAGAAGTTTGAGTAGCAAACTGACAATTTCCTCTTGCCAAAGCAAACTTTCATAAGGCCAAAAAAGGACAAAAATTGGGTCGGGTCACATGGTCACATGTTTTATGTAAGCTCAACCAGAGCAAGGAACATGGTCCACCCACTGTCGTGTCGACGTTCTCTATGCTTCTCCCTGGTTCGTCAGGTTGGCCTCTTGTGGCGTTGGCCTCTTGTGGCGATATCAATTGAAAAATCGTCGTCAACTTCCCCATGGTTTTTCACAAAGAATTTCCTGAATGTCATTTTGAGATTTTACTGGAAGAAATTTCCTTTTTGCTTTTGGAAAATTTTCACTTTCTCCGATGTCTAGAGCAAATTGCAGTCTTGTGTGCACGTGCACAAGAGCAGAACGAAATCCACAAAAGACATGCGGCCGTCTGATCCGATGTGAAGTCTGTGCAACGCACGTGGCCATTGGTGGAATATCGCATAACGATTTTTCCTATTGGCTAACGCGATGTAAACAAAGACTTGCTTTCAGCAACCTAAAAGCGTTTAGTTTACAAAAAAAAAGATCGTTAGCACACTTTGCTTCCAACAAAAGTTTCATCGAAAATTGGTTTTCATGATGCATGGCGTCCGTAGGCTTGAAAGTCTGTATGGCCGTGTAACATGCGGTCAGCCAATAAAATTGCTTATTGGGCACAGACATTAAAGTAGGGATTTCCCCTGGCACGCAATACTGCCCTGCTCGCACACACGTGTATCCGCACGGAGGAACATGAGACACACGGACCAGACATTTTTGACTGCGTTGCAATGACAATTACGTGACGAAGGACCCAAGCGGTCTTGGTACAACGTACACATTTTTAAAGTACACGCAAACTGATGTTAGACCACAATGTTTTCATTCGAATAGTATCAGAAAGAAAAAAAAACACTCGCTGATAAATTGTTCTGGCGATTGGGGATTTTGAGCGTCGGTATTGTAATATTTTTTCCCCCAAATAACCAATCAAATTGTGTGGGGTCACATTATATCGCTTTCAAAAAAAGGGTCGGTCGGGTGACCCGCACCAAAGGTATTTTTTTGTTTGGCCTAAGCTGAAAATAATTTTTCAAGGGCTGTACAGAAGTTGATGTCAATCACAAAACTGCTCCAGGAGAAAAGGGAGGAGCCTCCCTCAGGTTATTTACATGTAGACAGCCTAGGTACCTCTAACTACACAATGAGATAACTAGCAGCATTGGCACCTCATTTCTTCTACACAGAGATCTTAAAGGGTCCATGAAATGAATTTTTCTGAGTAAAATATTTTGTGCAACTTTTGACACCTCTTAAAGGGAATATACAATATTTGCAAACATCACAAACAGAAACCAATAGATTGTCTAGGTACCTCCTTCCTCCAATACAGTGTTCTTGTCAGCCAGAAGCCAATACGGTATCTAGGAACCTCGTTTCTGCTATACAGTGTTCGTGTCAACCAGAAGCCAATAGATTGTCTAGGTACCTCCTTTCTGCTATACAGTGTTCTTGTCAGCCAGAAGCCAATGGATTGTCTAGATACCTCCTTTCTGCTATACAGTGTTCTTGTCAGCCAGAAGCCAATAGATTGTCTAGGTACCTCCTTTCTGCTATACAGTGTTCTTGTCAGCCAGAAGCCAATATATTGTCTAGGTACCTACTTTCTGCTATACAGTGTTCTTGTCAGCCAGAAGCCAATATATTGTCTAGGTACCTACTTTCTGCTATACAGTGTTCTTGTCAGCCAGAAGCCAATATATCGTCTAGGTACCTCCTTTCTGCTATACAGTGTTCTTGTCAGCCAGAAGCCAATATATTGTCTAGGTACCTACTTTCTGCTATACAGTGTTCTTGTCAGCCAGAAGCCAATATATTGTCTAGGTACCTACTTTCTGCTATACACTGTTCTTGTCAGCCAGAAGCCAATAGATTGTCTAGGTACCTACTTTCTGCTATACAGTGTTCTTGTCAGCCAGAAGCCAATAGATTGTCTAGGTACCTACTTTCTGCTATACAGTGTTCTTGTCAGCCAGAAGCCAATATATTGTCTAGGTACCTACTTTCTGCTATACAGTGTTCTTGTCAGCCAGAAGCCAATAGATTGTCTAGGTACCTACTTTCTGCTATACACTGTTCTTGTCAGCCAGAAGCCAATAGATTGTCTAGGTACCTACTTTCTGCTATACACTGTTCTTGTCAGCCAGAAGCCAATAGATTGTCTAGGTACCTACTTTCTGCTATACAGTGTTCTTGTCAGCCAGAAGCCAATATATTGTCTAGGTACCTACTTTCTGCTATACAGTGTTCTTGTCAGCCAAAAGCCAATACAGTATCTAGGATCCTCCTTTCTGCTACACAGGGTCCTTGTCAACCAGAAGCCAATACATTGTCTAGGAATCTCCTTTCTGCTATACATATTCTTGTCAATCGGCGGACAGGGTTCGTGTCAACCAGAAGCCAATAGATCGTCTAGGTACCTCCTTTCTGCTTTACTGGGTTCTTGTCAGCCAGAAGCCAATAGATTGCCAAGGTACCTCCTTGTCAATCTGCAGACAATACACTGACTGGTAACTCCTTTCCACTATACAGGAATCTTTTTTAAAATCAGCCAGCGGATTCTCTGGATAACTCCAATTTGTTATAATGGGATTTCGCCTACTAAAACTTAGTATACACTCTGGGTAAAATCTGTTGTACTATACAGGCATCATTTTTAACAAGTTCTTAACATGTTGGTTTCAAAAGGGACAAAACTAAACAGTTTTAACATCAGCAAACACTTCTACAACCCTCACACAGAATGAAGTACAGTCTGAAAGGATTGTTTCCTTTTTGTGCAACACCCCTCGTGACAACTTACATATGTCCCTTTACAAACAGGCTTTTAAGTTAAACCCCCTGACTCCCACTTGATCTATTTGTGAGCAGGCATGATTGAGAAGGAAATCATGTAGGCCCACATTGTGGGTATTACAGGAATTAAGAAACATATTATCACCTACAATAAAAGAGTGAGGCACTCACAAGATTGCAAGTCTTCAGCTTACCAAACAGGTCCCAAATATGCAAGATCAACCAACTAGGTTTACTCTTGTACACTTACCTAAACAGTTGTTTTTCTTTATCACATTTGGCTATTTTTCCCATAATAATCAGTGGTTCAATAGGGAATTCACATGGTACTTGGTACTATGGTACTTGGTACCATCAAAACCTGTATGACAGTCAGAATGACAGTGGGAATGACAGCAGTGGGAATGACATTATGCATATTTGCTGTAATGCTGTTATATTTTGCTTTCACCTGAGAATGGTAAAAGTAACCTAATTTTATTTAACAGTGAAAACTACAATTAATTTGGTTAATTCAAAATTTAAAAGAAGTTAAAAAAAAGATGTTTGAGCATATTATACTTACTGAGGCTAATGCCTTTCCCAATGTGTCTCCTGTTTGTGAATTGCCCCCTCCTCCACTTACATTTGTCGTTCCTCTAACAGCTACAAATAAACACAAAGGTAATCTCATGAATCAAAGCAAAAAAAGAAACAAGTTTCATTTGAAGAAGTTTTTGCTTTCTCAAGGTTTCTAAACCCTTGAGAGGGTCTAGCAGAAGTAGCAACGTTCTGTAATCAATCAGTTACTCCAAATACCTTCACAAGGTGCACTTTACAGTGTAAATGGTTAAAGTGGTAAAAGTTAATTGGTTATGAGTACCTTTAGCAATGAAACTACACGTACTTGATCCATCTGTGTATTTTATGACACAATATGGAATTTCATGTCATTCGATAGATACACATTAAAAAACAAAAAGATCCGCCCATCTAAAAGCAGTGATAAAAATCATCTGCATTAACACATCCTTGGTAGCAAGCCCACAGAATCCAACTTACTTAATGTTGTGTCTGTTCCATTGGTTGGTGATGAGGTTGAATATGGAGAGTGTGGATGCGTGGAGGAGGTTGTTGTCCCAGGTCTAAAGGTTGACATAGGAGGAAGACTCAAGGGATCACGATCGGGAGACAAACTATGACTGTGGACATGACCACCACTTTGACTCTGACCATAGCCCTGTACAACAGTAAATACAAAAGATATTAACATTCAATCAAATAACCACTCTACCAAGGGTTGCAACTAAATATCTATTCAATCTGGGCTATGAACTGTGATTTTTTTCCTGCCAACGTACCGATACAGACTTTATGACAATTAAATTTATGTCTCTATGACAATGTCTAATCTGGCGAGGAAGGTTCAAGATCTTTATGTCATATAAATTTTACTGGCTAGGTTAGCTAGGATTTTACATTTGCAGGCAGCATGTTAGCCAATCATAATATAGATTGCCCTATATCTGGGCAGATTAAAAAACAATTTTAAAGATAAGTGCAGCGTTGGATCGCATATAGGCATTTTTTCCCTAGAAATTTCTAGGGCTTCAGTGCAAATAATGCAGTAGTTGATTGATAGAGTTGATTCACAGCAGACTTAGCTGCGGTTGAGTTGCAGCCTTGTGCTTGCAGTGCTGTCGCAAACACAGAGCAGCGGTTAAAGATTCCAGGCAAGATTTCTATACAGGCTTTGGCAACTCCTGATCGTGCATGCATGATGATTGTGCATTACAATAGGGGTGGGTATTAGCCCATACTTTTTTAGCTGCCCCCTCAAAATATGTAGTGACCCATGGGAATCAAGGGAAAAATGCTTTAAAAATTATTTGAGACCATTAACCCCCCTGTACATGGCCCTCAAAGTGTCATTTTGAAAATATAGTATGGTGCCCTGACTCCTTGTGCACAAAGTGTATGTAACTATTTTTCGGCTCCAGACTATTTTCTCCCACACTGGTCTAGCCTTGACAAAAGTTAGTAATCTAGGGGAAATAAAGAAACTTCCCTTATTTTTTGTTTAGTAAATCCTTTTGTTTCACCTCTGAAGTGTATTTCATGTATGTCATTACAACTTTAACCATTGCCGATACAAATTCTTACTTTTAAAAAGAAAAAATCTTAGGTTTAAAACACATGCCCATGCAGCTTTGTATGCGGAATGCAGTTATATGTACCAACAGGTCTACTTATTTTTGTTTTGCCTGGGGAAAAAAAATTTTCAGCACATACCAAAACAATAATTAAAAACACAAAAGTTGAAAAACATGTTCCTCAACTAAACGGACCGTTGAAAATTGCCAAAAGAGGAGGATTGCACTTTTAATTGTTTGCGATTTGTTGAATTTTTCCCGTTTTCCAAGCTTACACATAACTTGGCTAGTATTGGTCCAAGTGTTAAACAAGTTCAATTGTGTCAGATAAATTTACATGTATATGCTGAATTGAAAGGGAAAAGCAGAGAATAGTATATATATACATGTAGCTATTCACTCAAAAGTCATTGCGGGTATGATTCATGCTGAATGCATACTTATTTAAGAGATGTCCATGACCGGCTCTGTTGAATATCATCCATCCTTGCATCTGCTTTTGTTACCCAAATATAGCGTCAGATTTGCCTAGTCTAGGGCCTAGTCTTCCATACACTCATATACTTATCAACCTGGTCTGATGATACGAATAGTCCTCCCATGCCTTATAGTACTAGTTTATCCTTAAATTCATCCTGTGCAGAATTCCACTGCACATTACTTCTGGTATTGTAAACTTGTTACACCAGAGTATTCTCAGAAGGAACCTGGCTATCTTCGCTCAATAAGATCAACAGTTAGTACATGTAGCTTTGACCAAGTTGACTTGGGCTGATGAAGAACTAAATATAATTAATACCAATATTTTTACCCACCTCATTAATTACAAAACAAATTATCCATGAAGTTTACTGCAAGGCAGATTTCAACAATGGTAAAGTGGAGGTCACAAATTTTAAACTTGATTAACAATCATGACGTTGGAACTTAATCACCCTGAACCGAGTGGTGATATCACAAGTTTCAAATTAGGAATGCAGTCATATGCTCAGGGAAAGTGAGTGGAAAAACTGTCATCTAACTATGGACCAAAAACCAACTTTTTCACAATCATGTTGCAAGAAATGGCCAGTAAAAGTAACTTCACTTGTTTAAGTAATCATTGAACTGCAAAATATATTACTTTTGATGACTTTTGAAGTCAGGGAACATGTCAGTTCAACTAGCCATAGAGGGTGCCCTTCGCCCAAAACTTTTTGATGGCATGTACAGGGGGGTTAAACTTTTCCAATGTTTGTTTTAATGTTTGATTGTTGTTTCTAGTAGGCTACTACATATTTTGAAAGGGGCAGAACATTAAAAAGTGAAAAAAAGTGAAATAATACCCACCCCCAATTACAAAGAGACTAACAACTCTAACAATAGAACGTCCCAAATTGCTTTGTGAAGCACCCATTTTGCATCATAAATTCTCAGTGCAATCAGCATAAGGCCCTGTAGACACACTAAGCCTACCATCATGGAAGCTTTCTCTGTTTTATCCTTACAATTTGCAACAATGAATCTTATTGTTGTATCACCCTTTCATTGTGTGCTTACACTACAGCGCCTTGATGACCAGAAGTAGCCAGGTCAATTGGCAAGATTGGATCCACCAACTGGGAGACCCCTATCCGTATTATAAAGATGCTGCATCAGATGGGGTTAAATCACTCTTTTTGCACTAAACATTCCCATAACACCCAGTACTAAGGGATCTGATCCAGCGTATTTGGACATTCAGGTGAAAACAGGCTCATAGCCACAACATTAAAAAAGACTATAAAATATCAGTTGTGAGGAGCATAATGATTGTTTTTAATTTAACAGAAAAATAAGAGAATGATATACATTTTGTTTTCTTACCATAGGTTCATGTGGTGGGTATGTAGTTTGTGATTGTGAATATGAAGAAGCAGAGTTGCCTAAGATGGAAGTAGAATGAAAGCTAGCACTGGATGGGGCCAGCCCATTACTGTTCCAGGGATCTGTACTATGTGGACTGTGGGTGCCTGAAGCAGCATCTGGAAGAAAAAACCTCAATGTTACAGTGAATTGTGGGGATAATAGTAGTCAGGCTTAACTCCCCAGATGCACAGGAACAATATGGGTTTACCTGCAGTAATAGGTGTCATAGTTCTCAATTTCGGATTGCTAACTGACCAAAATATACATTGTTTAGATGAGTTGAGTGGCCCATACGTGGCGCAAGTTATATTGCAATGCATATTGCAGTATACAGTCGTAGTTAGGCCAGCATTTTTTAGTTTGTTGGATTACAAACCCGCCAACTCTGAATTTGACAATTTTAGAAAAACAAAATAAAATGAGAACATTTCGGTTACTTGGGATTTTTCAATATATGAAAAAAAACCCCAAGATTTTAATCAATCCCCCTCCCCCCCCCCAAAAAAAACAGTACTTTAAGTAAATTGAAAAAATAAGACATACTTTTTGTTTCCTATTTTGTTAAAGTCAAAAACACAGCGTAGCCCATATTGCGGATGTCCCCGGTATCCGATCCAATCGCATGCATGCAGAAGTGCTGAGCATGTGTACACACATTGATGGAGCCAGCTTTGCGCTTTGGCTATTTTCGCCTGACATCACAGAATGCCATTACATGTGTATGTACGTATTACATGTATGGATTATGCTATATGGCGTTGAAATCATTGAAAAAATACAACTTTCCTAATATGAATCTTGATGATTTAATAAAACATTCATGGATTGATTCCCATATGAATCTCCTGGCATCTTACTTACCCATGAAGTACTCGTTAGGATATATGCCTGGAGGCTTAGGGGAAGGGTAACTGGATGGATCGGATGAATGGTGATAGTCCTCTTGACTATTAGGAGAATACACCTGCAAATTAAAAAAAATAAAAAATCAAAGATTATTAACTGGACAAGAGTGTTAAAATACAAAACATATTAAGAGCTCACAAAAGCTACCAACAAATGACTTATCAAAAAGCACCACATTTTCTTTTACTGTTTAAAATTTATACAGAGCACACAACGTTGTACAAATTAATGTTGGTAAAGTGCTGAATAAACTGTAGTATGGCAGCTGCAGTATGTTTATATCTATAATATTTCCATGTATTCTGGTAGTGGTACATGTACCTTCAATCACACAACACTTGGCAGAGGTGAAACAGAACCATACATATGTACATTGCACAATGTCAAAATCATAACAACACGTATGCATTACCTCATATGTGCAGAGTTTGCAGGGATTCTTTATAAGTAAGAAAAATCTAGTGACAAATTTGAACTGTTGGAATCAGGATGGGACAAAGTTGCAATTTACTTAATGAACTGAATGCTTCCTGTATGCAGGGCCCCATCTGGCAAAGCAAGGACACAGGGTATTGAAGAGGTACTGGCTTCATTTGTCTCTAATTCAGTGGCGTTAGATAGAGATGAAGTGATTACATTATTGTCCAAAATGCTCAGTGTGCAATGATGTGGATGTGTGAATTGAATAACAAAGCAATCCAAGTAATGACATCACAAATTAATTGCCAACAGCTAAATTATGAACTCTATGAAGACAACAAAATATGCAATTAAATAATTTACTCTGTTCAGAATTTTTGCAGAACGGACAACTACAATAATTATTAGTTGGAATAGACTAGACTGTCATTATTTAAGACAGAGAACAGTCAGATTGTGGATGTGACCTTTTCTCAGTCTGATACCCAGGGGAGCTTGACCTGCTTGGGACCAGGGTTGGAAGTCTCAAGCTTAAGATCAAACACTCAGTTTAGGGTGACTTGTAGTGTTTGAAACAAACAGGGCTTCAGTTTACCCCCAAAAGAATGTAAACAAATACCCAATAGACTCCACACCATAATGAACTGAAAGGAAAATATTAAACGTAAGGTTTTAACATATTGTCTGCATTTTACTTGCTTTTAATAGCTTGAAATGTTAATGAGAATATATTATAACAGTCATTGTGTTGCAGCACATTGAAATCATCTTGCTTCACACTAATGCAGAGTACGGCGGTACATGTACAGTACCAGTATACCGGTAGTTGCTGCATTGCTGTGTGGTTTCTATTACAATGCTTAGGCCACAAAAAAAAGTAATCGGTCTCTGGTCAGCGCGCGCGTCGATTTTAATCATGCACGTCAACCTTTTTTTTCCCTTCAAATTAACACGGAAGCTACAACAGCGCCTCCTCAAATTTGCCGCACCTCCTCAAATGTTTGTACCAAGGAGCACCAAGGAATGGGGAAATTGCACCGAGGCAAATGATAAAGGGCACCAAGGCAAATTATGGAGGACACCAATGTATAATGAGGACACAAAAAAGCAAAATAGTACCCACCTTGTCTGTACAATTCAAGCTTGAACAAGTCAGGTGTGTTTACAAACACAAATGCCCCGCAACCGTGACTGTTCCCATGACATAACACCACTCTTTTAACATCAACTTACATGTACCTTGGTCACATGGAACGTTCATTGACAGCATTAGTGTCTTCTGTAGGTTTTATATGAATTAATCCCTAATCCCTATGATCTCATAATAAATACAAGATTTTTATTGTTTTAGCCATTGTGACCTTGACCCTTGACCCCTCGACCCCCAATGCAATAGGCCTAACCAAATTTGAAGTTCACGTGTAAAGTATTTCTCAAGTTATCGCGCTGACAAGATTTCTTTTATTTTAGTCGCTGTGACCTTGACCCTTGACCTTTCGGCCCCAAATGCACAAGGGTTCTTAGGATTACCAAGAACAATACACAAACCAAATTTGAAGTTCATATGTTAAGTATTTCTCAAGTTATCGCGCTGACAAGATTTGTCCGGACACACACACACACCCACCCACCCATGGAAGGACAAGGCGGAAACAGTATGCCCCTTCGGCTTCGCCGCGGGGCATAAAAAAAAAAAAAAAAAGCCACCCAAAAAACAAAACAAAACGCGTCGCCGCATCAATTCCGGAGCTTCGGTCTGACCAGAGACCGTTTTTTTTTTTTTTTTTGGCCTTACCACTTTAGTTCTTTTTATTAGATTACTGAAACTACATTGGTTAAAAAAAACTCAATATGAAGTCAATTGTTGCATTATTTGGGTCAGTAATTCAAATAATCTTTCCTTTGAGGCAAACTATTTTCCAAAGTAATGCCAAGTGTCATTTAACTGGAAGTTATTTCCATAAATACTTGTGATGGTACTGGGCAATCCAGGCAAAAGTGGGCACGGCTGAAAAGTGACAAATTTATGAAATCTTATGTAGCATCAAATAAAAGGGGAAAATTAGAACCATTTATTTGAGTGGTGTGCCAGTTGGGGGGGGGGGGTCCAAAAAGAAAAACGTTTGTTTTTTGGGCTAAATTTGGTAAGAATACCATGATTCAGTGGGTTTTTTTATCACGTGTGTGAAATTGATTTCAGTATAATGTAATGTCTGAAACATTAACAAAAGCATGCTTTTGTAAAATGTCATTGGTGTTCGTATAGAGTTAATATATAATTAATTCAGCTAACACTAAGTTATCCATGTCATCAAGGCCTAACTAGAGTTGTACAGAATATATAAAATTTGCTTTCACTGCAAGTGTTTTATTTATTTATTTTTTTTGGTTCAAATTGATCAGTAGGCTCTAAATGTAAAGTCCACAACGATGGAATTGCCATACTGCACATCAACTCTCAAGTTTTGAACATTTTCCTTTTGATAAGGTCCAACAATCTTGACCAAACAATGGTTTGGGCGGGGTTCGGCAGGAAAATGCAAAATCACAGGGACTTGCTCAGATGTACACCTGTCAGCAAGCATAATAAGCCAATTATTATTATAGGTGAGTACATGTATGTAAACAAATAAAACCTAATCCTACCTACATGTACTGACCCTTCCTCTTTTTTAATTAAATTTTTTTTTGGGGGGGGGGGAAGGCGCCTAGTTACATGGTATGTTGCTTGTTGGGAATAACTATTCTGTTCTTAAAGCCTGCCGCACATGAGAGCTACATGTACAAATGTACGTGCTGAGCAGAAAGTCATTCGAGGCCGTTTGTTCAGAACATAGCTCACAAAATATCCCCATGTGCGGTGAATTTTTGCTGAGTTTTATTGCCTCGGGAGGTCGTGAGGCAAATCCTTTTTGTTTTTTTTTGTCTCGCGAGGCAAAAAACTCACTGTGTACGGGCAATCTGAGCAACGTGCTGAGCTAAAAAAACTAATTAGCCAATGAAAGTACATTCCATGTATTCTTGTTATCAGTCGCGTGATTTCAAAAATGGGGACAAATGCCAGCAGGCTTTAGAAGAAATGCACAACAATATCTTAAAATCATGTGTACAGAGTACGTGATTTCATGAGCTAGTTAATTTTTTTGGCTCAGCATATAACTCAGATTGCCCGCACACGGTGTGTTTTCACCTCGCAAGGTGAAAAAAATCAAACAGGATAGATATTTGCCTCACGGCCTGGAGCAGCAAGAAAACTCAGCAAAAATTGATCGCACACGGGGATATTTTGTGAGCTACCGATTTTACGTGTTGAGCAAACGGCCTCGAATGACTTTTTGTGCAGTGGACTTCCAACTTTTTTGATCCCATCTTAAAACAGTTTCCTCCAGCTCTGGCAAAACTTTTTCCCCCAGAAAATTGAAGACATTCAATTGGACCTTTAGGCCATTAACAAGTAAAATAAACTTGTTACATGTATATGACAGCAGGTGAGCACAGTGAATTTGTATTGTTCAACTTGAGTGTATCAGCAATGATTAGACTTCACAACCAAGTTGTATTTTTGTGTGTCTTAACACTGGTGGGTTATTCTGCTTCAGCAGATCTGTCAAATACTGTTAAGCTTTTTTCCTTGTTCACATTTATGGGGTCGGATAACAAAATGCCGAAATATAATTGCCGTATCCTCTTTGAGTGATCCCTGTTTGCTATTTCCCAGGTGTGCAGTATTGCTAATGTTGCTATAGTATCGTGACCTCTGGGATTATGTCTTCTGACTAGCGCCCCTTTAACAAGAATATTGACAAATTGGGGAACCGCCAACATAGGGCTCGATAGCTCAGTTGGTAGAACACCAGAACGGCAATTCGGAGGTCGCAGGTTCGAACCCCGCTCCAGTCAATTTCTTTGTTCAACTTTCACCTAGTCAGTTTCCCTTTGTGGCTTATTTGAAAATTTGAAATATAATTTTGATCGATTTTGATAAAATTCTGACTTTTACAGTTCCGCAGAGAGTCGACTACACTGAAGCATCTGGTATTGTAAACTGATAGCATGTGCAGCACACTAGGGCCTTTTCCAATGAGTACTTGAGGCTGGACACCAGGCCAGTTGGCAGCGTTTATCTGAAAGGTGCAGTACTATATAGCAGAATGAACTGAAGTTTGCCACCAAAGCCCCCTTTTTGGTTTCCCTTTGCAGCCTGGTATGTGCGTTATGTCCACCTGTGTGTGCCTTGCATGTAATTGCGCTTTTCTGAATGATATTTCAGCAAGTCTAATTTAATTTCTTTTATGGAAAAAAGAAAGCACTGCGTAGGGCAGCCGTAAACATTTAACAAATAATGTTCAAATAGTTTAGGTTGAAGGTTACACTCCAATGCTTTACGGAAAACTCTAAGCAAATAATGCCTACCAATGCATTCTGAACAAATACCAGTGACCTATTACATTATTGCATAATTTGCATGTTCAGCGTTGTGATTGCTAGGCCTCATTTCTTTTCCTGAATGATGCATTGTAAGCAAAGTGTGACATATCATGATGGTATGGGCAAAACAGTTTTAAAGCTGTTTAACTTTGGTTGTGAGTGCCTTGACTTATTCCAAGGTACAGTAAACTCTTGTTAAGTCAAATCTCAAGGGAACGCATGTCCACCGCAAAGAGCCAGCAAGATTGAACTGCTGGCGTGCAGGTTACAATTGGGCCAGCGGTAGCAATCAGGCTACGTGTAACTCGAAAGCCAGGATTTGTTGCGGCCACAGGCTGGAGTCCGATCACAATGGCATCATGTACGCTGCATCCCCACGTGAAAAGACAAAGTGTTGGGCAGTATTGAATAATGAAAAAAACTTCGCAATTTTGAGTTACGGGGGTATTTATGTACATAATATCCTATTCTCTTGATGGGAATGTAGTATTACTTCGACATACATGTAAACAGAGTTTTCAAGTAATCCGAATTTGAGTTAACGACAGTTTACTGTATTTTCTTTTCTTTTTTGTACCCTTAAACACTTACAATGTACCCCACATAGAGCTTGCAAAAACATCAATTAAAATGTGAGGAATCAGGACCCTTACGTTTTTTTTCCAGCTAATCACACTAACCAAAGGGACGCTCTTACCACAAACAAGTAATATACTGGATGCACCCACTTTTAAGTCATTTAGATGTCAATATGAATTGAGGATTTCTGAAATGATTACTTACTGTTAACCCCCCTGGGGGGCCTTTCCTTCGTTTTGGTGGCCCTGAAAATTACAGAGATAAAAACCAATTAATATTTGACAGGTATTTAACCGAAGCAATCAAAAGCACCCCTAGCAATATCAACTGGTTCTATGCAGAACTCCCCTTCGCTTAGTGACTCAAGCTAGTCCCTCCCACTTGTACATGCTAACTTTAGCCACTCATACTCTCCAAATGCCTCAAATCATATTTTAAGAAGTGGAATTCAAATTGTTTTGGTTGATTTTTGTAAAATGTAAAGGACCAAATGGAAGTAATTTGGTTCTACACATGTGATACTGAGGAAGACTGTTCATATTGAGGAGTTACCTGTAAATGTAGGATGTTCAGGCACAAGTGGTCTGCGTCTGTGGTGAGGGCTATAGTAATAAGGTGAACCAGGCTTGGCATGAGGTGAAAGTGAACTACCGCTGGACATGTCGCTGGTAAGAGTTGGCATTCCACTCTGTTAACAATCACGGCAAAGAAAAGTAATACAATTTATTTTCAACAGCTAAAATATAATGTCACATAAACTGGAAAATTGAAGCCAGGAAATAACATGAACCCACACATGGGCTAATATACAGCTGTTATATGTCAGCTACATGTACATGTATACAATGTTACCCCGAAAACATTTTTTGGCGGCATCCCACACATGCCAGAGCAACACACATTCTATTGAAGGTACATTCACGCATTTGCCCCCAAAAAGACACTCCTAAAAACTTCTCATTGTGATTCTTTCACATTAACTATTGACCAAAAAAGAAACAATACAGCTATGAAACATTCTCATTCAGGCTTTTTAAAATCCAAGAATCCAGAAAAAAATGCAGAAAACCCCTACTTCTGCTACGTATTCGTACCAACTTTTATCTGGACTGGAATTAAATACATTTTTATTCCAGTTGTTTTAATGTATTATTTTTGAGGCACATTATGTAATGCATGAATGTGAAGGTTGTGCTATAAAATGTTTTTATTATTATTAGTAGTATTTCATGTATAAATTAATTTATCACAGTAAATTTGAGATGTGGCGTTTTATGCTAATTAGGACATATTGCTACGCAGGTCGAATTACTAGTACAGTCATGCAGATACATGTACAGTGCCCAGCATTTCTAAAAGGTATACATACATGTACATGTATCACGTATAAAAACTGTTTTCATTCTGTAAATTGAAAAGAATTCTATTAGCAAGCATGGAAATTAAAGCTATAGTCCATCATTTGCAGCCATCCGAAAAGTAACTGGCGTAATTATTGTTGAAAAACAAACTTGGTTGAAAATACTAAAACTCCCTGTGAAATTATTCTTTCTGGGAAGCTGTCATTTTGAAGTAATTAACGAAACAAGGCATTTCCAATGGTGATTCTTAAGAAGCACCGTAGGAAAATTTAAATTAGTAGTTCGTTTTGTTATTCAGCACAGCGCGCACAAGTATTGGAACGACGCACACGCGCGCGCGGTTGTTATAATTCGTCGGATCAGTGGGCTACGTCGCGTATAGCTGCAATTCAAAACAATTCAAAACATGATTCAGTAACTTTTGATTTGAAATTGAGATCTTAGAATGCTGTTTTTCTCGGAATGTACAGCTGAAGCTTAGCTGAAACTTCACCAGGTTAGCTGCTCAGTATCCTTCATTAGATTTTGAACTCTTTTGTTGCTTCAAACGAACAAAATGCACAAATTACAAATGATGGACTGTAGCTTTAAAAGGTTTGTGTGGCATTTTAAAAAAAAATCTTTAATTTCAATTTTAATATACATGAACCTGTCCTGTAAGGGATCATTAATTATTTTCACTTTTTGTTTTAAAAAGCCTTTAAAGTGACATGTATTTATGCCATCAACATTGTGGTTTTTTAAGGTTGACAATGTGCATGTCTATGCTAATGAGTGACACCGAAAAAATTACTTATGCAAAACACTGGTTAACTAGATTAAGCGTAACGTTTTCACTAAAACTTTTTCTGAACGGTTTACAATTTACACTGATTTGAGTTATGCAATGGCAACCGCGGCGGGAGGGTTTAGCACTAAACCAGAACAATCTTGTAAACGATAACGGAACAATTTTAGCTAAAATACTTCCCGATTAAGTTGCCTAGCGTATGTAGCGCCCATAGCTACACTCCATTGCCGACCTCACCCTTTAGTATTAAACGTTTTAGGTTGCAGGCCAGTAAATAGGCCCAAAATTGCCTACGCCGGCCAAATCACCATTTGCATGCCCTCAAATTTTTTTGTTATTAGAGCATTTTGAGGGTTTGTAAAAAAAAAAGCCGTGCACAGGACTGCGAGCTCGTGTTTCTGTGATATTCGGATGAAATTGGGCCCTACAAATTGCTCTATGGCGATGAGCTACAGGACTACATTTAGGGGTGATCATCTTTGGATGGAATTTTTTCCTAAAAGTCATCAGTTAACCAAAAAATTTTTAACAGAAAATGAAAGATGATGAAATAAGCTGTAATTTGATAAATATTCGAAACTCTCCAAGTTGTTTGAGACACACGTTTCAAACACCTTGGAGAGTTTCGAATATTTTTCCTGAATTTCAGAAGTAGGTATATTTATCACTAGTGTCTATGGCAGTTTATTTATTGGTCTGCAACCTTGACTCATAACTGCTAAAAGGCTGTCCAAACACAGCCAACTTGTAAATAAATGGTACGCACATGTTCAAAAGATAAAGGTAATAGCTCCAAACATAATCCAGTAAAACACTCAATTGTAGATGTTTAAATTCAGATGCATAAGTGTACAAGTACTCTAGAGAAAGAGTAATTGGTTTTATAAGATTTGTGGTTTACAGGAATTTTGCAATACCTTCAAAAGGGCATCAAGTTGTCCCAAGTACATGCACATACGCACATGTTTCTGAACACCAGGGTTTACATTTGATCAGATTTGATTGTGTACATACAGCAACTGCATGGAGTTACAAAATAAATGTAAATGTACTGTCCACAGCTAAAAGACACAATCAAGTCCTATACCCAGTAGTGTTCAAGAATACATAATGATATACACATGTACATGTTCATATAATAGTAAACATGGAATTCTAAAAATGTAGTTCTTTCATCACCCAAAGGAAAAAAAATAAGAGTTATTTTCAATGGTACATGTACACGTTAAAGGTAATGGCTGCTAATATTAATAATAACTCACCAAACTCATGCAGTCTTCAACATTTACCAAGCTTTCTAGGAATAACATGTTGAGTGATTGTCTATCAATATAGCTCCTTATAGTGTTACATGTAGGCTCTACACTCAAGTTCATTACATGTACGATGTTCACCAAAAAATAGCAGAAGCAGAAGATGCAAACGTTATCCACACCACTACAGTATCATCCATGTGAGCATATACAGCACACCGGGCATGCACAGTCAGACTACACGTTGTACCAACTTGAAGGTAAAGTAAGCAGGGCCTGTTGTGTTTACAATGAGCAGATCCCTTTGTGTGCTCAGTCAGCATGGTTTTTACAATGGCACCATCCTCCACACAGTATACATGTACCACGCACAATTCAGTGTACTTGCGCATGTGTTTCAAAGTATAGCAATATTCTCAACAGTGACTTACATGTATGCCTGCATGGAGTTATGCAGTTTGCAGTAAAATTATACCCATGTTCTTTCAAATGCAAATTCCTCTCATAAAATTTATCAAAATGAGCATAATGATAAACACTGTTTAATACTAATACCGGTACGTTGTCCCAATGCTATACAGTACGTGCATGTGTATCAATGACTCCTGTAAGTACCGGTACTAACATGTAATAAAAAACGAATACACTACAAAGTTGCATAACAGCCTGTGCAATATGTTTACATTTTTGTACATATTTCCAGTATAGGATGTACCTGTTGATGCAGAGTCATCAGTTAATTATCACCAGTAATTGCAACAAATAGCTTCATCATACATGTACACAACTGTAGCAAAAGGTTATCCTGCCAACCACAACCTTCTAATCATAATTAATACAGTTTTTGTTAATGAGACATGGGTTTATAGCATTAATTACAACTACTTGTACAAAAAGAAAATGTAAGACAAGACAAAACAAAAGATGTTCCTTAGACTCGTATCAGTTTATTCATGTTCTAAGTGTCCATGTTCAAAGCCAATAAAAACATATATTCCTTACACCTGAACTTATGTGATTTAATATGTACATTGTACATGTACCAGGTACATGTAGGACACATAAACACATATTCTGACTACTTCTAAATACAGTACATACATGTACTTGTACACATCCAGGCTGTAAATATATGCACACTATTTTCAGTGATTTATTGAAATTGTAATTTATATGTTTGATTATTTTTTCTTCTTTAACATCCAATAACTATTGAAATGTTATTTGGATGATGATATTTGAGGGGTAGAGGTTCTTCAGGCAGTGTCCAATATACAAGGACCAATGACAATGCAGCCATCTGTTGCTCTGGCCCGTCTCCTACGTGATTCAACTCAAAAGAATGAAATCTGATGGCTTTGTCTATTATTCAACCGTAACAAAACAAAAAAGAATCAGGCAAGGTCAAATACCCTTAAAAGCCCACAACAATGTGTTGGTATGTTTGTAAAAAACAATGAAAAAGAATTACAAATTTGGTTAAGTGGTATGTAAATAAAATAAAAAGACTGTGACCCACATACACATTTAAAACTAAACATTTTTCTAAACTTTGATATGTTTGATTCTTCGACAATGAAATAAATTGCCCTAATTAGACACAATTAAAAGACGGCAGTTTACATGGCCAAAATATCTGATCTTCATCTCAAGCAGGTGCCTTAAATAACTCTCAGAATATCTAAAGCAAATTTCTTAAGCAGCATGTATCTAAAAGGTTTGTCCTGAATAGGCTGTGCACACCATGGAATAGCCTGATCATTGGGATTTTGCTGATTTTTCAACTTTTTTATGGTTTTGACTGAAAAGGTACGGTATTTATGAATAAGGATAATAATGCAATTGGCCAGTGATGCTTAAAACAGGTTCTAAAAGGGTGATTCCATGTAAGAAATTCAAAAGTTGAAAAGAATTATTTTAGAAATTGCCTGAAATATCTAAGGGTGAATTGCATATATTTATATGGGCAATTCCATGTAAAACTGGAAATTTTGTCATTCGTGTCAGACTTTTTTTTCTAAAGAAAACTAAAATAAAAGGTACAAATGTAGTAGTCAATTTGTCAATGTCCATAAACCCATATTTCCTGGGTTGCAGCATTGCTCATGTTGCTAGCATCGTGATTTGGGCATGATTCCTGGCTACATTACATACGGGTTAAAGGCTTCCTACATGTAGTTGTGATTCCATTTTTTGGAGGAATCGATTCTCTGATAAAGCCAATTCCACAGACTTTCAACAATGTTATACAACAATTATGTAATCAGCCTAAGATGTGTACATGTGCTCATATAGCTCGTTTTGTCAGTTGCAAATAAAAGAGTAAAGCTCATTTAGTATAGATTGAACAAAATTATGTCATCTAAATACCATTCTAGTTGTGTGGGTAAAAACTGTGGGTTTAAATCCCCCCCCCCCCCCAAAAAAAAAGAAATATAAAATAAATATATCAAATAATAAAATAAAATGAAATTACATTGAATACATCACTATTTGGTGATTTATTAAACCACATTGTGCCTGGAATATAAAAAATACAAAAACAGTATTTGCAGTTATAGCCACCAATATTTTTATGAGTCATTTTCTATCCAAGTGTAATAAAAAAATCAACTTCAGTACATGTATGAGAACTTGAGAACTGTCCTTTTTGAGTGGTTTTGTAATCAGACGTTTCAACTCATGAGGTACATGTATATACCGTAATCCCTTCTTTCTGCCACACTGATATTGAAAAGGGGGAAACTCTGAAGAAAAAAACCCCAATAACTTCATTTATGGCCATTTTTCTTTTCAACTAATCCCCCCCCCCCAAAAAAAAAAGTGGGAGCAGAACTGAAAGATGTTACCCTGAGATAAGAGTTCACAAAATTATTCTGATCTGGGTTTTAACCATACCAATAAATTTTTATGTAGCTAATACAGACATATACATGTACATAACATTCGATCTTAAAACTTGATCATTTCAAGTTGAACAAAACTGTAATGAAGATTTTTTGGCATCCTGATGAAAAAATAATAACAAAAATCTAGAATAAACAAGTGAAATGAAAGAAGTATCATCTAGCAAGCACTCATTGCGTGCGAAAAAGTTTCTGACTATGTCAATAGAGGGCGCTGTATCTTATGTGCTTTCTCATGCATAATTACCAGTGTTTTTTATCCCAGATTTTCTCATTCCGAAGCAAACTGTGGATCGGGGAACAAAGCTTTTCCAATAGGGTACACCATAATCTACATGGGAAGTTTTATAAAATGTTGGCGAACCAGATCGCCTATTTCGAAAACTAAAGCGTTTTTGGGCTCTCATCCCACGGACTATTTCAACTTGGCGTCTTCCAATGTCAATACTGCACTGGACAAGGTGGCGGAGGGCGCAGGCTGTGGCCGAAAGCTGCTGAAGGAATGCAGGTTCACCCCTGATGCCATTGCATACCTCAATCTTTTGGAGCAACACACGATTCACAACACACAACAATCAACGATACACAACAATCGAGGTGTGCAATGACATCAGGGGTGATCCTGCATTCCTTCAGAAGCTTTTGGCCGCAGTATGTGCCTCCCATCACAGTCTCCATCACTGTATTGACATTCTGAATGAATATTTTTTTCGTATGGTGTTTAAATCACCCTTGCACAAAACTGATAAAACTCACTCCACAAAATTTGTCATGCCTTGTTTACATGATCTGAATTTTGGTTTAATTACATTGGTAATCAACAGAGTTATTTACATGTAGGACAAAAAGTAGGGCATGTTTTTTGACACATACCGGGTACATGTAGTACGTATCGGTACATTGCAACTGGAAACAAAATATGACTTGACATTTATGATACTTACCTCGCACGCTGGATTACTGATGTGTGAACATATTGTGGACCTTTAATTTCCATATTAATTACAATAGTAACTTCAATATCCCCCCCCCCCCCTCCAAAAAAAAATAAAAAATATAAAACCTTGCTCTTTTTGTGTGTGCACGTACATGTATATAACAATGTATATTGAACCCATGAGTGACCGTAACTGTCCCTGGTGAAACTTCCGGACACTAGATCAGTTCCTAAATGAAGCAGAATTTGTAATAATTTGCCCAAGCAATAGGGCCTGAAAGTTTACTCTGGCGCCACTTATGGACTCCTTGAATAGGAAAATTAACATGCAAAAATTCTCAAATTTGCAATTATTTTTGGTACATTGATTTCTTAAAAAATCTCCCCTGAAAAAGGCCAAGTTGTAAAATTGGAAGCTGAAAAATTACTTGACGTGAAAGAGAAATATCGTGCAAAAAATTGATCCCTCACTTAAAATACATGTGGACTACTGAAACTTAGTGTACTCGTACAAAGTTATTGGGTAAAAACTGAATTTTAAATAGGAGACTAAAAATATCTTTTACTACAATTTTTTTTTAGTAAACTTGAAGGACTCGTTAGCATTTACAAAAAAAACCTAAAATGCCCGCTGATAAGGACTGCAATCAAGCCAGCCCGACTAAATCTAGAACCTAAAGACTGCAGGCAGGTAAATGTTCACGTCGTTATACACTTTTGCTCTCCAACAAGTACACGATATGAAAACAAACCTGAACGAACAAGGAGACCTAGGAACAAAAATGCCGGATGTGAAAGGTCATAAGTAGAATTCATTTTTACCTATATTGTATCTCCTAGTGATTTCTCATCCTTTTTCCTTGAGGAATACCAAGATAAAATTCCAACATGAATGTTTCTTGGGGTGATTACTGATATAAATCATCGTCAAAAATAGACAAAGAGAAAGGGCAACCTAGTATAAAATGCCCATAGGCGGGCTGCTCAAGGGTTCCGGAAGCTCGCTGCTTGACCTTTTACTTTCAGGCTCTGTTATCCAGTGTTTCACTGTATTTGGACCTACTCACATTGTGGAATGGAAATGAATGAAATCAACAGGAAACAGGAAAGAACTTACCATCAGTTAATGTTAGATGTTGTCTGTTGATTTCTAAAATCACTGCAAACAGAACAATGACTGGAGGTGCTGGACACATACATGTACATGTGTCATCATTTCCAAAGACGATCCAAAGACTTACCATCAAACTACTACTTGGATAATATCGGTACAAAATGAACAGTCAATAATTCATTTATTTTCTTTCTCTTTGCATGTTATTCCTGTGATGAGACCAAGCACATCTGTTAAAATCCCATAAGATATCGCTTCAGGCTTTTGGTTATAGTTTGTTGGTTGACTGCTCTACCATACAATGAT